TAAATGCCGGACGAAAAGTAAAAATCATACTGCAAAATTTTTATTTAAAAAATGTTAGAATAATTTTGTATAGCAATATTTTTATCACAGAGCTTTTTTTAATTACGTCCTTTCTCATTTCTTTAAAAAGAATTTAATTGCATTAATTTTCGGAACATAATATTTACATTCACATAAAAGTTATTTATTAGATAATTATTAAAAAGTGAACGTACCTATAAAAATAATGCACTTACTGCAGTTTGTAATTATTTATAAAAACTTTTTATGCGTGAAACACTTAAATCGTCCGAATATATCGAGATGAGGGACAACAAAAAGCAAGAACGTCTAAATTATCAGATGAAATAAAATTTATCTTCACTAGCCAAGAGATGGATTGTTGTTGAATGAAGCAGACTTCTGTCGTCCACGTATATGGTCAATTTCCAGGCACGCGGAGAACGGGAACACCGCGATAGGACTAAGTTACATCATCCAAAAACAGTAACAATGTCACCCAAGGGGGGACCGGACTAAACCAGTAACTTGCATCGCGCACGTCCGCCCGGCTCACTCACCAACTTCCACTTCTACGTGAAGGAATTCTAGTTGGAAACGTGGAATCTCGGGTACGCGAGCACGGGACGACAGGAATGGTTCGAAACGCTGGAACTGCTTGGTGTTCCCGCAAGCAGTATCCCCTTTTATTCCCCGGGAGATTTTTGCGAGACCTTACTTCGACTGCACTCCATCCGGAAGCTCCTTTCTCATCCTCGAGATAAGGCATCTCAATTTCAGCAGCTTCCACCCCCTTTCACCACCGCCACCGCCACCAACACCACCACACCACCACCACCGCCGACGCCTCCGTCGTCGTCGCCTTTCTCCGCGGGGGACCGTCTTTAACTCGATATATAACCGAACCGCAAAATATCGATCCCGGCAATTGCTGGTTCGTTGCCGAAGTGCTCCACTGGTACGCGGCATGACCTCTCGGTTAGAGGAAACAGAGTTACCTGGCTTTCAGAAGAGGATCACAACCAGAGTCGTCGTTGGGGAGATCGGACGTGGGAAATAAGGCGTTCGGTGTGTTTTGCTGGAGGATTCAATGAGACAGATTCAATTGGGCAACTTTGTCACCCTGATTAGTTTGGAAATAGTTGGGGATAAAGTTATATAAATATAAATATATATATATATATATGCATATATATGCATATATTGTCTTTGAGAAAATTTTTAATCAGAAGATAGCCAAGATATTTTATCTAATAGTAAATTCCAATGGTTCTAACCGTTCGCATAACGCTTTTGAAACATGAAACATATTGAGCATTTTTTTTTAAATAATTGTGCGAGATCAACCTCTATTCATATAAGAAATTTTCTTGGTATTCTCTTGAAGAATCTACGCGTAGTATCAGTACAAAGAGCTTACTAACATCGTGATTGCATTTCTTTAGCCTTTAAAAGCAGAGCCTTTGAAGATTCCTTGAGAATACTGATACAATTAAAATCTTTTCGAAAGTCGGCGAGTGAGTGTCAATTTTTTCTATTCCTTTTTTCATTAATTTTCTCTTTGGAAAGTGTGACTATTTTGGAAGATCTGCTCGAGAAAACGCATTTCGTAAACTATATTACAATTTCATCCATGTAAGATCAGCGAATTAAACTATGTATTCTTAAATCTAAAGATAATTAGATTTCTACATAATAGTTAATGTAGAAGTTGGATAATTGTGAATGCAGTTAATCCGCTCTGCGTCGCGCAGAGTAATATAATGATCAGAGACTGTAGCACGGAGTGCAATCGTACTTGAGATCACCATCTACCGATCCCGCAAGACTTCCAGTCAAGCAAAGTTACACTTCAAATTCAAACCAGAGCGCATAAGTAAATTTGCCATATATGTATATAAATTCGATATTGGCAAGACAAACCGCGGTGTGAAGGGAAACCGCGAGATTCACACAATGTTATATAAATTAACATAAGATAATGTTAAATAACGAATACAAGCCGCTGACGTGCACGCGTAAGAAAAAGGAAGTAAGAGAAAAGCTCTTTATTATTTCGTCATTAAATAAGAATCTGTGACGCTCTAATTTTACTCCTTCAACAACTCTCTCGTCGAAAGGCACTAATTCTTCCTTCGTTAGCAAAGGACATTAGTATCAGCGACAGCCCCTCCCGTCCTTGCTGACGACTAGCAAGTTCCCAACATCCCAAAGAAGCTTCGACTGCGCCAACTTGGGTGTCCTTTTAAGCCGAGGCAAAGTGGCGAGTTCGACCCAGCCATCCTCGACACCCGCTTCCTACCCTCTCGCTCATCCTACAGAAGTTGGAAAATAGAATCGGGAGATGCAACCCGAAGGAGAGCGAGTAGGATAGCGGCGCAGAGGAGAACCAGCCTTCTCGCAGCAGCTGTCAGATACTCCCATGCATTTATCAAATAAAATAACTCCACCTTTTCACTTTCCCGTCCGATCTCTGGTTCTATTCGCAGCGGCGACTAAAATCGCATATGGCCTATATTTTTACGTGACGTCGGCTTTCTAGTTTCTACTAGAAAAATTGTACGAAAGATGCCGCTTGACAAAGAACGTTCGTTAAATATTTCTCACTCAATTAATTTTGTGGCTTAATCAAAATGATTTCTAGGTGAATCTTCTATTTTTGCATTTTATGATTAATACTGTAACAGATACGCGTCTTACTTACTTACTTGCTTGCTGACAGTATCTCATTCGCGTTGGTTTACCAAGAATCACGCGGTTATAGTGCGAGCTGTGAATTTAAATTGAGAGTGAGAAACGCGCGAGAAAGGATAGCGTATACTTCCTACGTGCGTCTTCCTGCCAGCACGTTCGCGCTGTTTATGCAAGAAATCTCTTTTATTAGTTTGACCCTTTATTGCCCGGTTTATGAGATCAGTTGAAGTCTGACAGGAAAAATATCCTATAAAAAACATTTAAAATAAATCATTTTATTATATACATCGTTTGGCATGCTTGAAAGCAAGTTTTACCAACTGGAAACTTTACATACGCTGTACTGAGGAGATAAAAAAAACTAACAATATTGAGGAGAAAAAAGAACTAACAAACAATACAAAAACAATTTATTTAAATAAATCAATATCTTAAATGTTTGCATATTTAGCTATTAAACATGTACATAGATGCCAAATTTTATGGGCTTAGAATTATTAAAGAGTATTTTGTCAAACAAGTGTATATAATGTTCCATGTATTTCTCTCATCTATGTTATATGAATATATGTAATATATGCATAATTTAACGTATTTTCAAAACTTGCGTGTAAACAATAATTTAAGTATTTAATTATGAAATAGAAATTTAAATTAAAAATTTACAGTAATTAATTCACGTATAAAACACCTTTTAATTCCATAAAATTAACTTATCACTAAATTAATAACACGATGTTTATACTTTTAATAAATTCAGAAGCCACTCGAAATCTCTGCTTGTTTTATCTGGGAGACAATTTGATCGAAGAATGTAAAAAAGTTTGAAAATAGCGACCGTTCCGATGGGAGAATTTTATGCACTGCCACCTCATGGTATAGTTAGACGGACAAATATTTCTCCTTACTTTGGGTTGGAGGGCAAGCGCCGGTGTGAAACTTTCTCACTAAATAAAAACTCCAAATTCTCTACCCCATAAGTTCAACACGAGAAACTCTGTTTACGGAAATCCCTATGCGGAAAACGCAAGGGGTGCTTTGTACGTCTGAGTATAACGTGGTCTTCTCTGCAAGTCCAGCATTAAAATTAATGGGTCGGCGCCCCGTTGCTCAGCAGGTGGTGTGATTTTAAACGTCATCTGACCTATCTCACTTCCACCTTCGTTAATATTCAACTTCGTGTCTAAAGCACAGTATTACTTTCGGAATGAAAATGCACATGTCCGTAATATTCTTTTGAAAAAATCATATTTTTTCAACGCGACCGATAATATTGATATTGCATAACAATAAGTATTCTATGAAAAATTAAAACACTGTTTATTTTATAAGATCTGCGTAATGCTGACGCTATCAAATTTAATAAATCGGAATTTTAATATTTGTAGCCAGTGGATGAAATTAAATATCTCTATGCGGCAAAAAATCGATAAGCACTCGATTCTCGTAATCCGGAATTTGTCTTTCCGCTCAGCTATCGCGTTTCAACGTTCATATATTTTATCATATCCTGAAATTATTTTCCGTATTTCCAATATTTTAACTCGCTACACATAACTCCAATCTCGGAATATCCTATTATTTTTGCGATTTTTAGATATAGTCTGGAAGAGCTGACTGCAGCAAACGACTGCTATCTATTTTGCATATACCATTGCGAACGTATGTATAAGATTTGCGGTGACCTGTTCGATATCGTTTTACTTTGAATACGAATAAGTTTGATAATCGTAATTTTCACCGACACAAAGTTCAACAACGATGTGTGGTCCATTTTATACTTTAATTTTTTCATTAATATTTTAATAAGAAGTCGCGTTATACTAAAGAATTTTTTGTAATTCGCGCGAATGCACGAAGTTGGGAGCGCGTAATCAACGCTGTTCATTTCGCGTCTCAAGTCTCGGTGCATAGATTGAATCGCGATCGTCTCGTGTTCTCACGTCTTTTAGATCGTCTCGAGCAAACTTCCCGAACGAACAGGTATCAGAAATATCGAATTAAGCAATGGGCAATTGTTTTCATATATTGATTTTAATATATTGATTCACGCAACTGCGATTAACATATAACTCAATATTCATAACCTATATGCGTTACTTTTCATTTCATCAGTTTGAAACAATTCGTTTTATAATATATGCATTTCGCAAAAACTCAAACAATCTCATTTTTTTATTAGATCTATATTTTCAATAATTTCATCAATATTTCAATAAGTTGTGTGCCGGTGAGGAATTTCAGAGTCATGTAAATGCGTGAAATGAGGCGCACAATGAAGTTAGGCGTGAGCATATCATCGAATCTCGAAGCCGCTATTCAGTTCGCGTTGCAAGTCGGCCGAATATAGTTACTGAATCGCAACTACCGTGCCGTTTTCGCGTCTGTTTTCCTGATCTGCGCAAATTTCGCGTGCGAACGAACATCAGTAAAATTGAAGTCAACAAGGGAGGATCGTTTCGACATATTATTTACGCGACCGCAATTAGCGCTCCTCTCAATATTCATAACCTATTTATTGCTTCGCATTCAATCGGACAGGCGTCCATCAAAAGGATCCATGTCGCGCGTTCGCTTGTCCGATAATTGTCCCGAATGCCATCTAGCTTCCGAAATGGAGAAGCATTAAGAGGCATCAATAGATCGCCGCGGCTACGAGGTCATGATATATTAGCGGAACAGCTGATTTCACTTACTGATGTTCGTGTAATGGTTCGTATCCACTTCAATTGCCGATTGTGCGTAACTTCTCGAATTCTCGCCAGTCGCAAGCGTATCGTGCATGACAGAAATCGGGAGTGCCGAATAATTCTACGGGCGAGTGTGTCAATTAATCCGTTCAATTGCAATCAAATGCGTATCGCGCCGATTGCGTTTCGTCGGCATAACCTATAACGTGTGTGCATTATTTCGTGAGTTTTATTCGTGAGTTTTATTCGTGAATGTGATTATTCGCGAATGTGATCGAAAATTGCGAATATATCATAAATACATCGTGGTGCATCGAGAGATCACTATAACGGATTAATCGAGAGAAAGAGAGGGAGAGAGAGAGATGGCTGCTGCATACCTACGGTGTTCCGTGGTGGTGAGTGTGACCTTTTAGTATCGGATTACTTTTCAATTTTTTTTTTTTGCACAGTGTACAATTTCCCCGATATGTGTAGAGGGATAAAAATATTCTTTTCTTTTTGTTAAACTTTGATAAAAATAACAGATAAAATTTTTGTATGTTTAAAGTGGTGAAAAAAAATATTTAAAAACTAGCCGCGATGAACAACTTTTACAATCATTTGTAAAATTTACACGTGAAAAATAATAACAATATATTATAATTTTTGGAAACAGTTGTTTAGTATATATATGGAGCTAATAAACTTCCATAAAAATAAACAAGTACGAAAATCAACGTAAGCTTATCGTAATTATAATTTACGAATGATAAATAAATATTTTGCTGCTTTAACCTCACGATTCAGGTCGTGACCGTAACATGGAATTCGGTCCGAAGATAATTTACTGCGATCGCTGGTATCACATATATCATTTCTCCGTAACGATAAAGTCCCACCTGCGGAGTAACTTCCTCAACAACATACGCAGAGATTATGGAAATTTGAAAGCTCGGGGCTTTCTACGTTGTTTGAATAAATTCGAGATTTAGGAAATGCTGATACCGCCAAAGTGTTCGCTCGGATTTACTATTCTTAAGACGAACGCGATGCGATACAAAATTCAATGTCAATATGCGTGTCATGCCGATGCATCGAGAAGATTGGAGAGCTTCAGTTGCTCTTTTTCGGTACAAATATGCTTTTCCATATACTTACCTTCGACGTCAGAAATATATAGCACGATATGAATAACGTTCATACGAATAAATATGATTTATTTAACGCTGCTAAACAGACAGGACTGCCTTATATAAACATTTACTATTTTTTGTATAAATAACACAGATAAAATGCAGTATTTATAAACGTATATTCCATCTTCTATTCTCATATTTTCTTTCCTCTTTAATTAAAATTTAATAAAAATGACCACCGTGTATTTTTCAGTGCATATCGCGACTCGTATAATCTTGTCTCTCTTCATATATTTAATTATCGTGTATTTATAGCAGCGCTGTCGTTGGGAGCAATTTTAGTTGGGTCATTGATGTATCTTTGGCTTTTTGTCACACAATTCAGTTTCTTCGGCCACGCCGGGAAGGCAGCTGAGCGGAAGGAACGAATTCATGAGTGGATACGATTTATTGCCGGTATTTACATAAACAGGAAACATGACACAAATGTGCCGGTCCGCGAAAAATTTGCAATTTATGCGACACGGTCGCTGTTCGCGCATTTGAGCCACTAAATGGAACGTTCGGGCACACGCGGTGGGAGTGAATAATAAGCGAGAAAAAAGTTTCGGCTTGAAAGCTCCCGTGAAATGAGAATTATGTCGCGAGAAGAAGTATCTACGCGAGTTATACGTTATATGTTACAGAAACGTTGCACCGCAGGTAGCGTATATTTCGCATCAATATGGTTAGCGGTAAATATTGCTTATATAGTGCCGAATATGGTAGAATAAATTAAATTCTTGAGAAAAAGGAAAGAAAAAATTAAGATAAATTTTTGCGATGCACCTTTGCATTATGTGTGCACGTAAGATTGCAAAATCACAGTTGATAAATAATAATATAAAGACAAATAATTCAGATCAGTGTCGCAGTGGCCAGACATATCCTAATCTCTGATCATATATTAACAAAACAGTTATTATTTAAATATTCATTAATTTATAAATAAAAAATCTAGAAATAATATTTTTTAAATTATTAACAAATTAAAAAGCATAAGTTTGCATGTAAGAAGAATTAAAAATTGTTGTGCAATATTTAATTACATAATAATTAATATAATGAGCAGATAAGAGATAATGAGACTATATTATATAAGAAAATTTAGATTGATCTTTGACGATGGATCGCCAATTGATCTTTTATTAATAAAAGCAAGTGATATTTTAGCGCTGAAAAGAAACATTTTTTATTTTCAATAATGATCAACTTTTAAATGTCCGGTCACTGGAACATTTATCTCATATGTCCATAAAAACTGCATTTATACTACTTAAAATACTGTAAGCGCGCAAAATATTAATAATTATTGAAAATTTTTACGTGAAAAATTTTCGAACACATTGGACTCTTAAACATGTTTTTAAGAAATGTTTTCAACAGCATTTACGGCGTAGTCGTAGACGATGCGCGCCTCGATATAGTGTGTGCTGTACGCGATTCACGAACACCAATTCACGTTTATTTCCGCTACGAATTCACGCTTGTGAAGGCCGAGGCGGCGAAATGTGCTTTTCAATTTTGATTTGACGATTCGAAGGAGACGACGGCAACGACGACGGCGTCACAGTGTCACGAGCCCTCGTGAGACCTATCGTGGAATGTTCTTGGGAAAAATCCATAAAAAAAATTGAAATTCATCAAACGTGCGCAGAAAGCGCTTATTTTACGGTCTGCATTCTTCGTTTCTTTTTTTTTTACGGACAAATTTATTGAACGCGAAATTGAAGAGCTTTCGCTAGCTATGGCCATTCATGTGTACACTTTTGCTTAGCCTTTCCGTGTATGCGTCATTTATCGTCAAGTCTAAGGTCGCGATTCAGCATCGATCGCGATATATTGCAGTCTTCTCTATTCCAGCGGGAAATAAAATCCAGCCGCGTATGTCTTTTACAGCTAAATCACGTTTTTTACGACGATGTTTTACGATTCTCGATCTTATTTACGCGTGAATAAAATTGCATTTACCCACTCTGCGTAAAATGCGCTATATAATTGCTCCTTTAATACATGTGCATGCAATACAACTGAACAGCTTTCGTAATAATTATTAAATAAGTGTAAAAATACAATACATATTATTAATAATAGTGGCGTAAGCACAAATGCTGTACGAAATATGTTGAAATATCAAAATTATATTAAGTATTAAATAATGAAAATCTTTCTTCGAAAGTTATCAAAAGAAAGATCGGGAGCTAATTTTTCGTCGAGATCGCAATTTGCGCAATGTATGTGATATAGACTACTTTTTCGCTGCGTTTTATGGTCTGGCAATGACATGTAATTTCCGAACACTCAGAAAACTCGCGCGTTTGATCTTAGATATGGTATGCCGCCGATGAAATATTAAAGATATGTAATCCGTGTGTCGTCAACCGATGGAATTCAGTCGATTTACTGCCGTCTCAGACGTTGATATTAGCATAAATTAGATTGAGCACAAAGTGGCATGTCATTTTAACAATAATATACTTCTTTGGTCTAAAAGTTAATAACATTAGCAATAATAATAAGAAAATGATATATTTTTTGTTATTATTTTTTTAAATATTTTGTAAATACACTCACCCGAAAAAAAAGCGGTACACTGAAAATGTGGGAAAAATTCATCAAATTTCAACTGACGATAACTTCGTAAATAATAAAGATAGAAAGTTCTATAAAATATGGAAATGAAGCTAAAAATCTCTACTTTAAGAATCAATTTATTTCAATGTTGCAAAATAAATTTATTGAAAATGGCGGATGACAAAGCGCGAGCATGCAAAATTGAAAAATAATGGTTCGAGTTTGCGACGGTGCACGGTATAAACAGAAAATTGTAGCTTATTGGGATCAAAAGCGTACGAAAGTACAGAGTCTTCTCTTTAAAATGCTTTTTTATGCATCTCGATACGATGATTTTTCGACGAGAGATTCGCATTTGAAGAAAAAGGCAGATTCTTACTTCTAGGCCTCTCACTTACAGTACAGTCTGCAAATCGTTCTCCAACGCGACGGTATACTCGTCCTCGTCCGTCTGAAGAATACAGACAAAAACGAGATTCGTCGCTAAAAAGAACGGTACTCCATTCTGCATATGTCCAGCCTGCATGCTCGACAGCAAAATTGAGTCGAGTTACGCGATGGCGACGCATAAGCGAAGGTACATTTGCTGGCCTGCGCGGAAAAAGACCGTGTTCCGCTAATCTGTTTCGAATAGTGTCAACGGATACATTACATTCGCGGACATCTCTTAAATTGTTTCGAATTTGAACAGCCGTTCGATGTCTGTCTCTTAATGAATTTAAAACAATAAATCGGTCATCGTTTTCATTCGTACAACGAGGACGTCCCGAACCAGGTCTTCTTTGGACAGAATTAGTCTCCAAGTACCTAGCATAAGCACGTTGCACGGTTGACACTGATAAATCAAGTGCCTCAGCAACGTACCTTCGACTTCTCTCATCTTCAATTAACGCTACAACTTGAGCAGCTTTTTCAGGACTTATCGTCGCCATAATTGACCAATAATTTCAATGCGAAAAGATTAATTATTGTTTACTTTGACGAAGTCGTACGAATAAGTAACGCGTCTCGAAAGAAAAAGATCAAGAGAAATCAAACACTCTTCTCGCAATGTGCGGTCGAGCATAAACAAAAGTCAGGGCGGAGAAATCACAAAAGATCTGCAGACATCTTCGGATGCAAAACAATTGATTGAAAAATAATGGTTCGAGTTTGCGACGGTGCACGGTATAAACAAAAAATTGTAGCTTATTGGGATCAAAAGCGTACGAAAGTACAGAGTCTCCTCTTTAAAATGCTTTTTTATGCATCTCGATACGATGATTTTTCGCTGAGAGATTCGCATTTGAAGTAAGAATCTGCCTTTTTTTTCAAATGCGAATCTCTCGGCGAAAAATCATCGTATCGAGATGCATAAAAAAGCATTCGTAATAACTTCGTATAGCATACATTATACGAAGTTATACGAAATTTTCGAGTTGACGTGCATGTCATTTATATTTTGGA